CCTCCCCTCCAGCAACCACAGTTTATTTCCTATGATTAACAATCTCTTATGGTTTGTCTCCCTCTCTGATTTTGTCTTGTTTTATTTTTTTTTATTTTTTAAATTTTTTTTTTTATTTATTTATGATAGTCACACACACAGAGAGAGAGAGAGAGGCAGAGACACAGGCAGAGGGAGAAGCAGGCTCCATGCACCGGGAGCCCGATGTGGGATTCGATCCGGGGTCTCCAGGATCGCGCCCTGGGCCAAAGGCAGGCGCCAAACCACTGTGCCACCCAGGGATCCCTTGTTTTATTTTTGACTCTTTTTGCCTGTGATCCTCTGCTTTGTTTACAAGGTAGCATTTCTATTTCATTCTTTACTAGGCTTTTTTGGTTGAATTGGATTCATATCACTCATTTTATCTTAAATACATTTTCCCAACTCATTTTCTAATTGTCAAGATTAGCTTAATTTGCAAACATATTGGGTAGGGTGAGGAGCCTGTGAAAGGTAAAGGACTGGAAAGCCACTTGCCTTTCATGTCAGGGCATAAAGAAAGTAGATTGCAAGAAATGTCTGACAGAAAAAAATAATTCCCCAAAGTGTCAGACATCTGCCTATGAACTATGTGTACAGCTTCAAAAATAGAAAACTCAATAGTATACTTGTTGACAATTGTTGGTGTTTTGGTATACTGAGTTAGCTTATCAACTATTCATGTGAAATTAAACAAAGAATTAGAACAACAAATTAATAGAAATTAAACAACAGAATCTCCTTTGAAAGTTCATGCCCTACCATTCTTCTTCAGAAATACGACTCAAAGAACATATGAAACATCTAAAAAACAAAAAGAACTCATCTTTCAGGAAGATTTGAAAAAGGAGTAAGTTGCCACAGTTGAGAAGATGATTCAATATTTTTGCTTGCACAACCTTGAACATTTATTTTGAAGGGAGGGAATGTCTGGGAAAATTGCTGATTGTAGGCGTTATTTAGAGAAGTTACAAAAAGGGACGCTCTTATTTTGTGCTATTTGTGAATGTGAGAGATAAACATATCAGTCTCTACTAAGAAAGTAACACAAGAAGGCTTTTTGTGCCCTGTGGAGAAAGTGTCCTCATTCTAAGTCTTTGGAAAGTGTAGATTTCATTACAGAAAGGAGTATAAATTATGGTGTAAAACCTTCAGAACTGCAATAATTTTTTTTCTGATTTCTTTTTGCTAATATTACTTGTACTATTTCATCTTTGTGGGGACTTTACATATTTCAAAAAAATTTTTATTTCAAAAATAATGTATTCAATATAAAAAAATTAGGCATACATCTTTCCAGTCTTTTAAAATACACATATAAGAATATATTTTTCTTTGATCAAAAGTGGAATCAAACAGCACATGTTATTTTATCATCTACTCTTTTCTCCTACACTTAACACACTCAGTGAACATCAAAGGGATTTTTTGACACTACCTTCCCTAGAAACTAAAGACCATGCGTATGAAAAAAGCAAGTTTTTATATTAGAAAACCAAGACTGTAAGCACACTTCAATCAACTTACAAATATTATAAAGAGCATCATTTCTAAATACTTTATATTAAATAACTAAAAAATGATCATCAATTTAATAGTATCAAGCACCCTTGACAACTTAAGAGTTGAAGATTACCCAACTTGAGGGGAGAGAAGCTATAGAGGCCTGGACCAGAGAGTGTGGATTTGCCTTCCTCTATCTGAGACAGAAACCAGCAAGGGCCTTCTCATATGCATTGAATAGGGGAGGTGTGGGAATTATGGTGAGGGAGGGGCACTCCAAAAGGATCTAGCAGAACAAATAGAGGGAGATAAGACTTGGGCTCCCCATACATGTGAGCCTCAATGCAAGCTTGCCAAATTGTTTCCTTCCAGAACAACCACAAACCCAAACCACAGGGATGCTACTAAGTCTGCCACAATGAGAAAGAAGAATCTACTGTCACTACCATCTGGGGGATAAGAAAACTGCTCCAGGGCAGACTGAGAAGTTAAGTGGTTTGACACATAAGAAGTTAACTGGTCTAGGAAAGCCTGAGAGCAGAGGCCTAAAACACAGGTTTGGGGCATCGACTCCTCTTTTTTCATACTACACAAATCCAAACCAGGAGCAAATGCCAACAATAATAGGACAAGAATTTCTACATTTCAGGTACCTGTTCCTCAGCTCACTATAAGTAGGTTTCCATTTCAACTTGTACCCTAAAATGGTTCCTGCTAAGATCACTGTTGATCCTCCTAAGACAAACCAAATGGATGATTGATTTTTATTTCTCATTCACTTGGCTTCTCTGAAAGGCTCATCTTACTACCACTCCCTCCATTTTGAAACTCACTTTCTTTGAATGTCATCAATTGTAAGAAACAGAACACTCTCTAGCCTTTACCTAAGGTCTCCAAAAGAGAAGAAGTGGCAATCTCCAGCTGTTCCCAGAACACCAACCCACCAGCTAGGGGAGCTGCTGCCTCTGCCAGATCAGGAAGGTGTGGCCTACAATCACCCCTGGAGCTGTGGGGCTCAGGAACAGTGCACTAAAGCTGTGAGATTAGAGCCTGAAGCTGCCAGGATTGTGTCTGTGTCTGTGATGCTTGCGGCTGGAAAATGCAGTGCTGCTATGGGAAAACCCAACTTCTCCATGATCTTGCCTGCCAAAGCAAGAAAATGGTTTCCCTTTATTGTCATCTTCCAAATCTTTTATGAATACATCTAATGAACGGGGTTTACTATGCATTTAGAAATCGAATCGGCAAGGGTGTCTGGAAATACAGTTTTTAGCTTTCCGACCCCTGTAGTACAGAGGCATACAGGAGGAAGGGGAAAGAAATGGATCTCACCATGTCCACCACAGTGAGATGGTTCTCCTCCTCATCCTCTCAACCTGCCTCTAAAGTGTTGGTTTTCTTGGCCCTCTCCTGTTTTCATTCTATCTTTTTTAGTGATTGATTATCCATCTCAACACATAAGCCAAAAAACTATCCTATGAATTTTGCCTCCTAATTAACTTGGAGCTCTCATCTATGTTCTATTCTTGCCAGCTTAGTTCAGTTCATGATATCTTGGCTAGATCACTGCAATTATCTTATGGTTGATCTCCCTATCCCATATATCCAAATAGTCCCCCAGGAATAATCAATATAGAATAGTTCTCAACACAAGTGAGTACATCCTTTCCTGGGGGGTATCCACAGATGTGCATGGGCCTTTTGACTAATGGCACAATAGGCATTTAGTTTGTGGGGACCAGGGATGTATAATGCAATGGTCCTGAACAACTAAGAATTATCACCCCAAATGCCATTAATGCCTTCTTGAGAAACAAGAATTTCTAGAATCAGGATTTCATGAACCACTAAATAGAGTTGTTAAAACTCATCAAACTATACACTTAAAATGGATACATTTTATAAAACAATAAATATATCATACATCAATAAAGTTAATTTTTAAAAAGTTAAATACACCACCTCACACCCAATAGGATGGCTACTATTTAAAGAAAAACACAGAAAGTGACAAGTGTTGGGAAGGATATAGAGAATTGGAACACTTGTGCACTGTAAATGGGAATGTCACATGGTGCAGCTGCTATTGAAAACAGTATGGTGGCTCCTTGAAAAATTAAAAATGGAATTACCATATGATCCAGCTATTCCAATCTGGAAATATATCCAAAAGAATTGAAGGTAGGATCTCAAAGAGATATTTATTTATTTATTTAAAGGTTTTATTTATTTATTTATTTACTTACTTATTTATTTATTTATTCATGAGAGACACAGGCAGAGAGAGAGAGGAAGAGACACAGGCAGAGGGAGAAGCAGGCTCCATGCAGGGAGCCCGACGTGGGACTCGATCCCTGGTCTCCAGGATCATGACCTGGGCTGAATACGGCGCTAAACCACTGAGCTACCCAGGCTGCCCAAACTAAAGGTCTTTCATTGAAGATTCATACATGCTGTGTAATATGTGTTTCATTCACATAAATGCACTCAAAATTTTAAAACCTTCCAAAGTTTGATCAAAGTTAGTCAAATTAGCTCACTACTTAACTAGGTAAAATTAGAGATACTGACATTTGAGTGTCTCAACACTTGACAAACAAAAGTTTTAGCCTAAAATTCCTCAACAGAGATTTAGCACAAGTGTGAAATGCTTATTAAGAAACATTATTCTGAGCCATAATTGTGTTGCAATGCTCATCTCTAAGAGTCTTTAGAATGCTACTTTTGCTTAAAAATAGTGACTCTAGGGGCACCTGGGTGGCTCAATCAGTTAAGTCCTTCTCTTGATTTCACCTCAGGTCATGATCTTGGGGTCCTGGAATCAAGGACCCCCACCATGCCCAGTTGGGCTCCCCACTCAGCAGGGAGTCTGCTTCTCTTTCTCTACCTCTTCTCCCCTTGCCCCTCCTCCCCCAATATATAAACGAATCTTTAAAAAAAATAATGACTTTAAATCAATTGAATTTCACTTTAGTTAAAAACAGTACAAAACCTCACACCATTTATAGAAACCACAGATTATATAAATGCAAAAAATTCACCCAAATCGGAGACAGGAAATTAATTCTCTCCAAAGCTTAGGAATCATGACCTTAGAAGAAACTAGGTGTTCATTTTTCTCCCAAGTCTACCTTTTCTAACCTCCCATCATTCCAGTTACTTCACAGGTAACGTCCAGGAACAGCTCTGGCAGGATTTTTAAAAAATTAACTTAATTAATTCATTAAAGTAATCTCTACACCCAGTGTAGGGCTTGAACTCACAACCCTGAGGTCAAGAGTAGGATGTACCTCCTACTGAGCCAGCCAGGTGCCTCAACCTTAGCAAGATTTTTAATTAGCCAAGATTCCAACATCTTTACTATAGCAATTACCAGGAAATACTAAAAGTTAAGAATCTAAAATCAGTCAGCATTGCTCTTGCTCTGGTCTGCACTGAGGTGGTGGCATGAAGATGTTTTAAAAAACCTCTGGACCTACCTCCTCAGGTAAGGATGGAGGAAAAAACTTGCATTTTACAGGTGCCAGAGATAGCTTTAGACTTTGAAGATGCCATTGGTAAACCAAGGTGATAGCAAAGCGCCCAGAAATCTCCACTTGAATGAACTTGTTCACCTGGGGGCAACATAAAGGACTGTCATTTCCTACACAGAATTCTCATGCTCATAATTCAAGTGGAAATCTTAAGACATGTGCATGACGTGTGGAAGGAAATTTGAGATCGATGTTCACAGCTTCATTCTGGTTCTATTAAGTCAGGGATAGGTTTTAGGTTTTGTGTTGCAAATTATCTTTAATTTTGTTTTTTTAGATTTTAAATTTATTAATTCATGAGACACACACACACACACACACAGAGGTACAGAGACATAGGCAGAGAGAGAAGCAGGCTGCATGCAGGGAGCCAATGTAGGACTAGATCCTGGGACTCCAGGATCACGCCCTGCCCTGGGCTTAAGGCAGGCGCTCAACTGCTGAGCCACCCAGGCATCCCTTGTGTTGCAAATTTGCGTGTTGTTATGACTTCTTGAGAGAAGGAAGGCAATTAATGGGGTCATGTCTTATAAAGAAAGTCAGATTCACTTTAGATTGAGAAAATTCTGGGTCAGTTTGCAGGTACTTCTGAGTTGTAATTCTAGCTCTTGAGAGAGTCTCTCTTATAAAATAGAGTTGACAACATCTGATTCCCTTGATGATGAGGCAAGTCATTAATGGCTGCCAAGGGCTTAGAAGTTTTACAAGTTTTACTATTACTGGGAAGCTTATTGAAGCTGGAAAGATTTTATAAATGACAAGGATAGAAAAGTAATGATGAACAACTTTTAAAGGTCAAGTGAACACCTGCAGATTTGCAAAGCATATTTTTAAAAGGCTTGCTGTAGATAAAGCATCTTAGTTAACTGTTCTAAGAATGCATGGACTTTTGGTTGGTTACAAGCTACACTCCCTTGCTTCCTGAAGCTTCTGCCTGAGGTAATCTGAACTGAATAATCTATCCTATTAGGGCTCCTGGTTTTTTTTAGATGAGGAAGCTGACTCCTGAGTGTCAGGAAACTTGCATGTACAGGCTTGCTGGAGCAGTTTCTCTACTGACTCTTTACTTTCTTAACTTTCAGAGCTAAGCAGTACTTCTTTAAAAATAGCAATCCAGGGGATCCCTGGGTGGCGCAGCGGTTTGGCGCCTGCCTTTGGCCCAGGGCGCGGTCCTGGAGATCCGGGATCGAATCCCACGTCGGGCTCCCGGTGCATGGAGCCTGCTTCTCCCTCTGCCTGTGTCTCTGCCTCTCTCTCTCTCTGTGACTATCATAAATAAATAAAAATTTAAAAAAAAAAAATAGCAATCCAATCAGGATACATGGCCACTGTGGATGATTTTGTAAACTGTCTAGAACAGAGACCTGGAGGTACTTTCCACACAATAGTGTGTCCAGTATAAATATGATGTGAGCCATAAATGTGAGCTACATAAGTAATTCTAAATTTTCTGGTAACTACATTGAAAGGTAAAATGCAGATGAAATTACTTAAAAAAAAAAAGATGTTATTTATTTATTCATGAGAGGCACAGAGAGAGAAGCAGAGACATAGGCAGAGGGAGAAGTAGGCTCCCTGCAGGGACTCCAGTGTGGGACTCAATCCCAGGACCTTGGGATCACGACCTGAGCCAAAGGCAGACACTCAACCCTGAGCCACTTGGGTGCCCCTGTGGGTGAAATTACTTTAAAAAAACATTTCATAACTAAATATATCCAAATATTAATGTTTCCATGTGTAACTAATATAAAAATTATCAATAAGATACTTTATATACTTGTTTTTTATACTAAGTCTTTGACATCTGGTGTGTAGTTTACACCTACAGTGAAGTTTGAGGGACCACAGCCACGGTGTCTAGTGGCTGCCATATTGGGCAGCATAGCTCTTTATAACTGGTACCTCTAAGGTTGGTTGTACAGGACACCTGCACAGCCATATGCAGTGGCCCTGGACACAAAATACAGCACACACATAAAGTAACTATTTATGAACCAATAAATTCTTGCACAGAGGTTACAGACTGGCATCTCAGAAGTATTTGGTTTAGTCATGTTAGAGTTTGAATTAATTGCCAACTTTGAAATATCAGGATATTTCATCAAAAAAATCTGAATTCATGGCTTTTTTTTTAATTCATGGCTTTTAAAAAATCATAAAATATAGCAGGCCTAGGCCCACATTCCCATGTGGCAACAGTGTTTTGGCCCTCACTAAAGGCTGTCTCCTTTGGGGTAGGGGAGACACATACTTTCCAGCTCACCGAAGTTCCCATTGGTAAGCTCACTCTTACATTATCTGAATTTCTGACCCTGGATCTGACAAAAATACACATTAAGCTATTTACAAAGGTAATTCTGCAGAGTGAGACTCAGGAAACTTTCACTTTGAATATTATATATTGTCCTATTTTTAATATATTTTTATATTATACACAAAATGCTATCTAATGATAATTTTTAAAAATTACTGTTTAAAGTAACTGCGTGGGGTGCTGGGTGGTTCAGTCAGTCTGATGCTTGACCTCAGCTCAGGTCTTGATCTCAAGGTCATGAGTTCAAGCCCTGGATTGGCTTCCACGCTGGGTATGGAGCCTACTTTAAAAAAAAAAAAGGTAACTGCTGCTTAGTAAAGACAAATCCATAGGAAAGAACCTACTGAAGTAGGGGCACCTGGGTGGCTCAATCGGTTAAGTGTCTGACTCTTGGTTTCAGCTCAGGTAGTCACCTCATGGGTTGTATGATTGAGCCCTGAGTTGAGCCCTGTGTGGAGCCCCATGTGAGGCCCTGTGTCAAGCCCTGTGCTCAGGAGGGAGTCTGCTTCTCTCCTTCTCCCTCTCCCTATGTCCTTCCCCTCTACTCCCAAATGCATACACTTGCTCTCTCTCAAATAAATAAATAAATAAATAAATAAATAAATAAATAAATAAAAAAATCTTAAAAAAAAAAAAGAAGCAAGCGAACTAAAAAAACTGAAATAAAGATTTGTCAGATTAATTGGCTGGTATAGACACCCAAACTGAATAATTCAGTCCTCTCAATCCTATTTTCCCCGATAGTAAATTTTAGGAGCTTAAAGTAAATTATTGGTATGGCATAAGAAATAGATATAAGAAAGATAAATTGTAAAATAATACCCAAATGTCAACTGGATCATCAAGTTTTCCCTTTGAAGGCCACATCCATTCCCTTACGATTTTTCTTTTTTTGCTGATCACCAGGCCACCATCCTGATTAAACATCATTGATATTATTTGGCTACAAAAAAGACAGAAACATGACTTATTTAGAACCAGAAAAATTCATGGATTCATTGATTTGACTGAGGCAATGGAAGTCACCAGGTCGTAGCCTTTAAGGATTCCTTCCCATCATATTCTTGGAGGATGGTCATCTTGCCTCTACCTGAGTATTTTTCTTGAAGGGAAGGTTGATATATATCTGCTCAAATGATCAAGATTCCCCTTTCTGAGAAACACTGTTTTCTATTTTGGCAACTCCCCATTTATACAGTCATAGGAATGGGCTCTGCTGGCCGATTATTGTATCATGTGGTACCACCATCTTGGCTGTGGCTCACTGAATCAGGGGTGGACATTTGCCCATGAATGTGTTCTAAATGGTTGTGTGTATATATATATACACACAAGGCCATGAGAAAGGTGGTAGGCATAATGCATTTAGGGGACTGAAAGAAAGCCAGTGTAGCTAGAGTCTAGAGTGGTATGAATGAGACTAGAGTGACTGGCAGCCAGGGACCATGTGCAGGGCTTCCTACACTGTACCATGGATTTTATCTTAAGAGCAAAAAGTCACAGAAGGGTTTCATAACAGCAAAGAGGTGACATGATCAAACAGATTGGTAAGGAACCAAAGTAGGTGCTAGAGACCAATTCAGAGGTCGGAGAGAAGATAGTAGCTTGGACTGGGGCTGGGATGAGAGAGATGGAAAATACATGTATGGATTCAAGAACCATATAGATTTGGAAAGATGGGATTTGGGTGATGAAGAACAGGAGGTGTCAGTTTTATCTTCCCTATACTTTATATGTCTATCAGTGCAGCCTAGCATTTTATTAGCTTTCCTGGATCAGTAGCATCACACTATGTGTTCATTTCTAAGTTATCTTTGTATCTTCTTTCTTTTCAGCACAGCACCTGGCAGAGAAGGGGCTTAAAGTCTGACCTGCCCTGACAAAATGGATTCAATTTAACAAATACATATTGGGTAATTATTGGATGTAAGACACCACCTAGGCACTGTTAGGCATTGAGGGGTGCCTGGAATGAGGTGCTCAATGAGGTTCTCAGGGCATTTTCAGTCTTATGATATTAATTATTTTGATAAATAATATTTACTGGGAACCTACTATCTGCCAAGTCTTAAATATCTCCTTTTAATAGGCAGTGTTTCTGGGATGCCTAGGTGACTCATTTGGTTGGGTATCTACCTTCGGCTCAGGTCATGATCCCAGGGTCTTGGGAGGGAGCCGAGTCAGGCTCCCTACCCAGCAGGAAGTCTGCTTCTCCCTCTACCCCCCACCCCCAGATCTATCTCTCTCTCTCTCTCTCAAATAAATAAAATCTTTTTAAAAAATAGGCAGTATTGCTTAATGGTTTCAAAACAGTGTAGAGCCAGATGGTTAATGATGTTGAACTTGGCTCTCCTATTACCTAATTGTGTGAGCTTGGACAGATTTCTTAACCTTTCTGTGGCTTAGTTTCCTTGTCTTTTTTTTTTTTTTCCTAGATTTTATTTATTTATTCATGAGAGATGGAGAGGCAGAGACAGAAGCAGTCCCATGTCAGAGCCTGACATGGGACTCGATCCCAGGTCTCCAGGATCATGCCCTGGGCTGAAGGCGGCGCTAAACTGCTGAGCCACCCAGGCTGCCCAGTTTCCTTGTCTTAAAATTGGCAATAACAACAGCATCTACTTCACAGAGTTGTTGTAAGAATTAAATGAATTAATAATGTAAAGTGAGAGCAGAGCCAGGCACCTTGTAAGTTCTCAAGAAGCGTTGGCTTTTGTTATTAAGTCATCACAATTCCATCTATGGGTACTATGAGTCCATTTTCCAGATGAGGAAACAGAGGCTGAGGAATGTTGCTTAATAGAATACATGCAGCCTAATGTAAAGTTCAGGAAGGAAAAAAAAAAAAGTTCAGTAAGGGAGTTCACCATCTAATAAAAGATGCAGAGTAGGTGATAGTATAAAAGGGGTGCTTTTGACTTAAGGAAGAAGCCTGCAGTCTAACAGACGGACAGGAGGAACAAAGCAACCAACCCAGTACAAACATCAGGAATTAGAAGTTCCACTGCTTGGACACATGGAGGGTGTTCCTCTCTTGAACAGCCTTTCACTCACCCTGGGCAGTCCAGCCGTCAGCTGTTATCACTCCTTGGAGGAGCCTCAGGGGAGATCTGAACTGTCCACTGGTGCACTGCAATGGGAGTTATCTCCCTACAGGCCCAGTGTTTCTTTACACACTGGATCCTGGAAACAGGGGTCCCAGTCCACGCCCCCCTTTTATTCATCTTCCTGCTGGTACAGGCTGCTGAACCTTCTCATCAAGACACCCCTTTGGTAGGATGACAGATGTGCAAGAGGAGGATTGGTTTAAAAGATAATTAATGATTAAATAATGAAGTCTCTTTGAAGATAGCTTTTTTTGTTTTTGTTTTTGGCTTTTCTCTTTCAGAGGCTTTAGTTCTGAGGCAGACCGTATCCTTTCCCAAGGAATGGTGTATGATGCCCACGATGAAATTGCACAGGGGCATTACTCAGACGTGAGGCTTAGTGTTTGGGGCTTCTGTGACGTTCCCAAAATATCATCAGCAGATGGTGTTGTATTCATTTGCTAGTTACCATCAGCAAAGAAGACAGGAAGAGGATGAGGATGACAGTCACTCCACAGCAGCAACTGGGGGGAAATCCCCTCCTGTTTTATGAATATAATCCTCATCTTCGGGATCCCTGGGTGGCGCAGCGGTTTGGCGCCTGCCTTTGGCCCAGGGCGCGATCCTGAGACCCGGGATCGAATCCCACGTCAGGCTCCCGGTGCATGGAGCCTGCTTCTCCCTCTGCCTGTGTCTCTGCCTCTCTCTCTCTCTCTCTCTCTCTCTCTGTGACTATCATAAATAAATAAAAAAAAATTAAAAAAAAATCTTCATCTTGGACATTTAATTTTATGTAACAAATAGTCAAGGGGACAATTTCCCAGTATAAGCTTAACTCTTAAGCAATATTAAAGCCTGACCAAGGCACTAAACATTCCGGTTTCTACCCAGAAAGTGAAGATTTGAGATATACTTTTATTTCAATTTTAATATTGTTGACTTGGGATGCCTGGGTGGCTCAGTGGTTGAGTGCCGGCCTTCGGCCCAGGGCATGATCCTGGAGTTTCAGGATAGAGATAGAGTCCCACACCAGGCTCCCTGCATGGAGCCTGCTTCTCTCTCTGCCTATGTCTCTGCCTTGCTCTCTGTGTCTCTCACAAATAAATAAATAAAATCTTTAAAAAAAAAAAAAAAGAATATACAACAAACAGAACCAATGAAATCTTTAAAAAAAATATTGTTGACTTGTAATTCTGTAAAATTACCTGTAAATTAGTCCTAAAGGAAATCTCAGAAATCATGTGGCCCAATTTTTTGCATCACCCACTATTCTTTTTTCATTTATAGGTTTTATTTTAAATTTAACATGATTTAATGACAGGGGAATTTAAAAATATTCACACGATTTTTGCAAACAAAGAGTACAACATTTAGGTCCAATGTTGATGCAGGCAAAAGGGAAACAATGACATCTACATTAATGATGCAATATAGGACAGCAAATTACCTATTAATGTTTTGAGTTCTTTCTTTTTTTTTTTTAAGATTTTATTTATTTATCCATGAGAGACATACAGAGAGAGAGGCAGAGACACAGGCAGAGGGAGAAGCAGGCTCCATGCAGGGTCTCCAGGATCACACCCTGGGCTGAAGGCGGATCTAAACCACCCGGGCTGCCCATGTTCTTTCTTTTTTTAAGAGATTTTATTTATTTATTCATGAGAGACACAGAGAGAGGCAGAGACACAGGCAGAGGGAGAAGCAGGCTCCATGCAAGGAGCTCGATGTGGCACTCGAACCCGGGAATCCGGAATCACGCCCTGAGCTAAAGGCAGACGCTTAACCGCTGAGCCACCCGTGTCCCTTGAGTTCTTTCTTTTTCTTTCTTTCTTTCTTTCTTTCTTTCTTTCTTTCTTTCTTTCTTTCTTTCTTTCTTTCTTTCTTTCTTTCTTTCTTTCTTTCTTTCTTTCTTTCTTTCTTTCTTTCTTTCTTTCTTTCTTTCTCTTTCTTTCTTTCTTTTATTTCTAAAGGTTTTATTTTTTTATTTATTCATGAGAGACATACAGAGAGAGAGAGAGAGAGGCAGAGACACACGCAGAGGGAGAAGCAGGCTCCATGCAGGGAGCCTGATGTGGGACTCGATCCCAGGTCTCCAGGATCAGGCCCTGGGCTGAAGGAGGCGCTAAACCGCTGAGCCACCCAGGCTGCCCAAGTTCTTTCTTTTATATATATGACAGCTTTATTAAGATATAATTCACATGTCACACTATTTAAAATGTACAATTCAGCGATTTCTAGTGTATTTGCAGAATTGGACAGTTACCACCACAATAAATTTTAGAATATTTTTATCACTCTCAAAAGAAAACCACATGCCCATTAGCAGTAACTCCCCATTCTTCCCTCCCCTAGTCCCCCTGGCAACCACTAATCTCCTTTCTATCTATATAGATTTGCCTATACAGGACATTTCATGCAAATGAAATCATACAATATGTGGTCTTTGAGACTGGCTTCTTGCACTTAGCATAATGCATTCAAGGTTAATGCATGTTGTACCATGTATCAGTCCTCCATTTTGCTTTATGGCTGAATAGTATTCCATTGTATCAATAGACTACATTTTATTTATCATTTATTTTTCAATTGAGCTCTCTTTTTGGGGATGTGTTAAGGGTGTTGCAATGAATGATTATAGGACCTCCCAAATGGAGTCTCAAATTTTAGCTCAGACTTTAGGACATGAAATACTTTTTTTCACTAGGAGTTTAAAATGCCTGTCATAAAAAGAAAAAGAGAAAACTAAGCAAACGTGTGATTGGATGTATGTGTGGGGATGTAAATACACTATATTTTGAAGAATAAATAAAAATGTTATTTGCTGTAGATACACTGATAGAAGGGGTATGAGGTTGAGAAGAGAATTTTAATTTCTGTGCAATACAATTTTTTTATGATGTCCATGAATTACTTTTATGTACAAACAGTAATATACCATCCCTCCTACATCATAGTGCACTTTCTCATTGAGAAGCTGTAAATAGTTAATTCTCTGGTTAGAGTTGCAGAAAGCTTCAGCAACCCTTAGTCAGAACCAGTATTTTCTGTTTGTTGAAGGAAAATGAAGTCTCACACAGGAGTGAATTAATTAATTAATAAGGATTTAACATTAATAAACAGTACTTAAGCAAAGATTTTGACTCAATTATCAGAATATTCATGCAACAAATGGGCATCTCAGGATAGTCTGGTGCTCTAGAGTCTGGGGCAGTAGGGTCCAGCCTGCAACTCAGGCCTAGTCCTGCCAGTTAGATGTTTAGATGTTTTCACCTTCTTAGTTATGTAAAACCAAACACTAATCCCACATGCCTCTGAACAAATGTCCTTTGCAGTTTTCTTTATATCAGTATATTGTAGAGGATTATTTGGAGTTTATCACCATAGACTATAGGCTTAGACCTTTTTCTTTTTTAAAAGATTTTATTTATTTATTCATAGGGACAGAGAGAGAGAGAGAGAGAGAGAGAGAGAGAGAGAGAGAGGCAGAGACACAGGCAGAGGGGGAAGCAGGCTCCATGCAGAGCCTGACATGAGACTGACATGAGACTCGATCCCTGGATCACACCCCAGGCTGCAGGCGGTGCTAAACCGCTGTGCCACCGGGACTGCCCAGCTTAGACTTTTTTAAACAATTCTTTTTTATCTCCACAACTCTCCCGAGTGTCATTATATATTGATACCTAGATTAGGCTGACCCTATCAGACTATTAAGAAACAGATTCACGAGCCAGTACTAGGAAAATCTAGCTTCCATAAGGGAGTTATGCCTTAAAGGTTTTTTTTTTGTCTGGGTGAGTTACATATTATATCATAGGGATATTTGTAAAAGACAAAGTTAGACAAGATATACTTCTACAATCTGAAAGGGATCAGAATCCACAGTTGTTACAATATATTATCTAGAATAGCTTCAGTAAAAAATTATAAGACATGTAAAGAAATAGGAAAATGTGGCCCACACATAGGGAAAAAAGCAGGAAGTAGAAGCTATCTTTAAGAGGTGCAGATGTTGGACTTACCAAAGACTTTAAATCAGCTAATATAAATATGTTTAAAAAAACAAAAACTAAAGGGAATAATTTTTAGTTGAAGAAAAATAGGATTATAATGACTCATCATTAGGGAATAGCAACAAAAAGAAATTTTTAAAAAATGATGTGGATATTTTGGAATTAGAAAGTACAATAATGGAAATGAAAACTTCGCTACCCTGTTTGAGTTGGCAAAAGAATCGGTGAACTTGAAGATAGCTCAGTAGGGATTATCCAGTCTGCAGAACAGGAAGGAAAAAGAGTGAAGAGAAATAGAATTTCAGAGTCCTGGGGTGCCTGTGTGGCTCAGTTGGCTAAGCACCTGGGTCTTCATTTCGGTTCAGGTCATGATCTCAGGGTTGTAAGATTGAGCCCGTATTGGGCTCCACACTGGGCATGGAGCCTGCTTGGGGTTCTTTCTCTCTCCCCCGCCTCCCCTGCTCTCTCTCACTCCCTCTCAAAAAAAAAAGAATTTCAGGGTGATATGGGCTCTATTAAAAACACCAACATAAATGAAACAGGATTAAATATTTAAAGAAATAATGGCCCAAAGCTTCCCATGTTTGATAAAATACACTAATATATACATCCAAGAAACTGAACAATTCAAAGTTCAAAGAGATCCACACTTACATTGTAGTTAAACCATTAATAAGCCAATGACAAACAGAAAATCTTGAAAGCAGCAAGAGAGTAATTAGATAAACAATGAAATGCAGATGAGCCTGACACATAGTAAGTGCTCAATAAATATTATTAAGTATTTATGAATTAAATCTTCAAGTTTAGAGGAGAATCCTTGTCTAAGAGTACATACAAGAATGAAAATGCTGATCCAACTTTAGCAAAACATGACTTCTAAGCTGTTTTCTCAATAGCAAGGATAATTATGTGATATTATCCACGGTCTAGGTCAAGAATAGGCAAACTTTAACCTACAGACCAAATTTGGCCTGCTGCCTGTTTTTGTAAAAATATTATTAGAACACAACCATGCCCACATGTTTATGTGTTAGCTATGGCTGCTTTCATGCTACACTGGTAGAGTTGAGTAGCTGCCATAGAGACTGTATGGCATGCAAAACCCAAAAGATTTACTATCTAGCCCTTTATAGAAAAACTTCAAAAAAAAAAAAAAAAGAAAGAAAGAAAAACTTCGCCAGTCTCTGGTCCAGGTACTTTTCTCTCTTCCACTGACTATCACCACATCTTTGGAAATCCTCCTGCTGCCTTGCCCTTTCCCACTGGATCAGATCCTTACAGATTGCTGACCCAAATCAAGTTCTATCTACTTGACTGTTGATTGCCTACCTAGCGTCCATTCCCTATCCCTCCCTCCCTCCCTCCTACCCTCCCTCCCTTCCTTCTTCCCTCCCTTCCTTCCTTTCTTCCTTTTTTTTTTTTTTAAATTGCCCCTTGTTTGTTTAAGGCCTTCCTCCCTTTTGAACAAATTCCTATTCATTCAGCTCTTCACCCTTCACTGAGTCCATCCCCATTTACAGGGGTTAGATGCTGAGTATCCAAGCCCATAGGTGCATGGCATTCCCTTGACATTGGGCCGATGACTAAATTGGTCTAAAGAGACTGAAAGGAAAGACATATATATATATAGTTTATTCTGGAAAAAAAGTTTTTAACTGCTAGACATAAAAAAGAGCATGTAGCCACTGTCACTAGTCGCCACAAAGGAGAACCACCTTGAAGGAAAGGATGCCAAGGATGGCTGAGTGGAGAGATGAAAAGAATCTGGATCCTTCATGGGACTCCTGGGTAGCTCAGTGGTTGAGCTGAGCCTTAGGCTCAGGGTGTGATCCCGGATAGGGGGGATTGAGTCCTGCATCAGGCTCCCTGTGAGGAGCCTGCTTCTTCATCTTTTTGTGTCTCTGCCTCTCTCTGTGTGTCTCTCATGAATGAATGAATGAATGAATGAATGAATAAATAAATAAATAAATCTTAAAAAAAAGAATCTGGATCCTTCATGACATCACCAAATCACAAATTATACTGTATCTAGAGTCTATCCTCTCTATAATTTGGAGTAGAATTTTCTGTTATTTGCTATAGCAAAGGATCCTAACTCTACTTTCAGCAACAAAACAAAACAACCCTCTAACTGCTACAACCTTTTTGATTACAATTTCTATGACTGGTTTTTATAGAATTCCATCTATCCTAGCCTCCCCACTCCCCACCACCCATTCCCAATAGCTTGACACAAATATTTCTAAGAGTCTTACTCACTCACTATTCAATCATTCAACAAACATTTATTAAGCACTCACTATATACTAGGGACATAGTAAGTATTTGGGAACAACGGAGTGAACAAGATATAAGTGATCTCTCCCAACATGGAGCTCAGATGCTAGTCCATAGACCCAATAAATGAACATTTCATTTCAGATCATGATTAGTGTTAAGAAACAATAAAGTCATCACTAGAATAATGGAAAGGAGAGGCCTTCTTAAAATGGATGGTCAGAACAGACTTCTTTTGGAAAACAGTCTGGAAGTTCCTTAAAAGTTTAAAAATTGAGTTATCATATAACTAAGCAATTCCATTACTAGTTATCTATTGAGGAGCAGTGATAACATATGTCCACACAAAAACCTGTGAATGTTCACAGTAGCACCCAAAATGGAAGCAACACAAATATTTGCCAACTGATGAATGAAGAAATGAAATGTGGTATATCTATACAATGGAATATTATTTGGCTGTCAAAAGGAATGAGGTTTTGACACATGCTGCAACATAGATGAACCTTAAAAGCCTAATGGTAAGTGAAAAAAGCCAGTCACAAAAGACCACATATTATATGATTCCATTTATATGAAATATTCAGAACAGACCAATCTATAGAGGAAGAAGGTAGACTAATAGCTGCCTAGAGTTAGAGGTGAGAGTGTTGAAGAGTGAGTGGATGCTAATTAGTATAAGGTTTCTTTTCAGGGTAATGAAAATGTTCTAACATTAGATAATGGTAATGGTTGCAAAACCCTGTAAATATACCTCCAAAAACCTGTAAATTTACCTCCAAAAACCTGTAAACATATCTCCACAAAACCCATTGAATTGTGTGCTTTAAATGGGTGAGTTTTACAGAATGTAATTTTTCTCAATAAAGCTATCTAAACAAAAAGGAAAAAAAAAAGCTCTCTCCAGGGAGGTGACATTTAAACTGAGACCTGAAAGATAAGAAACCCGTCTTGCAAAGAGTTGGGATGAGAACTTTCAGTCCCAGGGAACAAAGGCTATGAAGGCCACAAAGAGAGACAGAAATTTAGTAAACAAGGGGGTGAGTGGTAGGAGATGAGGTTGGAAAGAGGCTAGTACAGGAAAAAGGTCTTCTGAAAGTTTCAAAGTCACCAAGTTCCATTTTGATACAAACTCTCATTGGACAACAAAATCCACATGGAAGTCTTTATGAAATAGTTAATAGTGAAACCCCCGGATGAGGCAGCAGGTTAATTCCAAATGCTAGAGCTGCAAAACACCTTGTCATGAAGAAAAGAAGCATCAAGTTTCAAAAGGGAAAAGTATTTAAAGCATCATTAACCTATACCTGGGGAATTCCATTAAATTACTTCCATCATTGTTTTAAATATCAATTTCTAGGAGATAGTCACAGATATTCTAGTGAGTCCAAGAAGAATTCACATCTCCAGACAGTTCAGAATGTAGGGATCCTATAGAATACCAAACAGGAAAAGAAATCATTAACACAATATAAATTTCATAGTATCTGAACTTTGTGAGCAGTTATAGATAACATACTTGAGACCTGAAATAAAAGGGCATGACCAACCCAGGTTGACTCGTCTACAGACTGTAGCAAGGAATCAGAGGATGACACAGAATTCCAAGTGAGAATATAGGAACATCTGGACCAAAATCAGGAGAAAGAAGATCATCAATCGTTGCAAATTTTCATGAACATTCTTGAGAGGAGGGATTGGATGTTAACATACTAATACTGTTAAGCGATCATTTTATGTATTCATGATTCTCAAATTCTACTACATGCAATTGATTAAAGTCGAATCAGGGATGGAAAGAGAGAAAGAGAGAAGTCATAATTTAGATTCAAGTGTTGCCCTTGTGATCAATTCCAACAACGGCCGCAATATTTTGCAGCTTCTTCCAAGAAAAGTATGTCTATTTCTTCACTCCTTGAATCTAGGTTTGGTCACATGACTTGGTTTAATCAAATGAGTCATTAGCAAACATGGTATTAGAGAAGACTTGAAAATTGTGTATGCACTGAGATTTATCTTTACTTTTACTGCTTTTGGAACATAGAAGCCTGAGCTTAGCCTGCTAGATACTGCTAGATACTTAGCCTGCTAGATACACATAGCCCAATTTCTCTGTTGCTCCAACCTATTGCTAGATACATCTAACCCATGCTCATTACCAAATGATTATGTTTAGGATTACTACTACTCTTTATTTTGTTTAAGAGAAGGATAGAGAGAAGGGGATTGGAGGAGCAGAGGGAGAGGGAGAGAGAAAATCTTAAGCAGACTCCACTCCCAGTACAGAGCCCAATGTAGGGCTCAATCTCACAGCCTTGAGATCACGACCTGAGCCAAAATCAGGAGTCAGAAGCTTAACCACTTGTACCACTAAGGTGCCCCTGATTATTACTACTCTTATTATTACTCATATGTTGTGTTCTCAGCTCTCAATGTATTAAAGGTTGGAAAGAGGAAAAATAGCATTGGGATTAGAGTCTGAAAACTGACTTCAATGTTTTTCTCTACCATGTAGCCTGGGAAACATTATCTACTTTCTCTGAGCTTCACTTTGCCTTATCTAGGAATTATACCTAATCATGATAGTTCCTGGGAAAATGAAAAAACATGAAAAAGTGCCCTCAACATAAAGTGATATATATTAGCAGTCAATAAGGGTGAGATGTTTTAATTGAGCTCTCCAGAAACAATTTCCAAAGAATCTAACTTTAATGATCCCTGGAAAAACTGAGTGAAAATACATTTGTACTTCATGAAAGCAATTGTTACTTTTCCACTCTGTGGTGTCACAGAATAAAATGTTCATTTAAAATGCCATAAAACTAGGTAGTATTTATTAATCTTTCTTTTGAAACCGTTGAGCTACTAGGGCTGGGAGAGGGAAAGAGTTTTTTGAAAGTATGCGCTTTCTCTGCCTTTGAAATGCTTCCAGATTCTGTCATCATCTTTTCATCTCAACATCAAAGTTGGGAAAGGCTCTGCACATGGAGGGCAGGTATTTACATGCCACTCACCAAGGCACTTTGCTGCCCCATCCATCTCTCTCTATTTGCATCTTGAGAATCAAGCATTAGTTTTTAAATTTAGTTTTAGTTTTTTGTGGACCTGTACTCTTTTTGCTGGTAAACTTCTGTCACATTCAACAGGTGATTTGGCTCATAACAGTTAGGAAAGGGGCTTCACTCAAAGCATGGTCATCATATGAAATGCTTAACATGCCAGAAATACATAAAAGCATATCTATGAAATGGTTTTAAAAAGGGACGAGGGGGATCTTGCTTTCTGGATGACCTAACCTTCAATTCCCATCACCTTGAAATCAAGAGAATTCAAAACAAAAAAGATGGGAAAATAAGAGATTAGGGCTCAAAAAATTCAAATTCAGCAAATCTGTAGGATGAGTTTACTGACATGGTGCCTTAGTTCACTGAAAAGCTGTCATATGAATAGGCTACAATGTCAATCTCTTCCTAAAGCTTTGAAGGCTAGAAAATGTTTGTTTGTTTGTTTTTAAAGATTTATTTATTTATGATAGACAGAGAGAGAGAGAGAGAGAGAGAGAGAGAGAGAGAGAGAGAAAGGCAGAGACACAGGAGGAGGGAGAAGCAGGCTCCATGCCAGGAGCCCAACGCGGGTTTCGATCCCGGGACTCCAGGATCGCGCCCTGGGCCAAAGGCAGGCGCTAAACCACTGAGCCACCCAGGGATCCCCTAGAAAAATAAAAGTGTCAAATTCTTGGCTTTTGGAGTAAAAAAGCTGAACTCTAGACACATGGCAAAAGGGATAGGGGAGACTGCAATCTTTCAGGAGCAGATTTTCCCTGAAGGAGTGGGCATGGAAAGGAATGTCAGAGGTAAGAGAGTTCAGCAATAGAAACCTTTAGAGAAAAAGCTCTGTGCCATCCTCCTGAAGCCAAGTTGAAGGATGGGGTGGGGGTGAGGGGAGCTCAGTAGAGGCCCCAGGTGAATTTGAGGGATCTGAAAATCTGGATAGGTGGTGAGCCTTGGAACTGACCTCAGGCTCAACATAATTCAAGAGTAAGAGAATAGATACTGCATGGGGCTCTACATGGCTGGGAGTAGAACAATCTCAATTTCCCCATGTTCAGCATAAGTCAGAGCCAGACAAATGTTTCCTGTGTGCTGAGAAGGATGTGAAAGCAGCTGAGAAAGAGTTTGGTCTTGAAAGACCTTATAGTTAGAGTCAGAGGGATGCACCCATGAGCTTCAGAGACCAATCACTGCAGACCATTTGGAATGAAGATGCTTAAGAACAAAACAGTTCCCCAACCACTAATGTCTTCTCATTTCATCAGCTCCTTGGAACTGAAATAAACTCTTAGGGCCTGGATACCAGCATTTTAAGTTTCTGCCTAGAAATATACCTAGAAATTAAATTGAGGGTTTAAAAAATGAAGTCGTATTTCCTGCTTATTTGAACATGTGGACTAAAATTTGTATCCATGATAAGAAGACCTTATTCCTCAGGCAGTAGATTTTTGGGTTGGACTCTCCACTCACAGGAAATTATGAAGATTCCATCTCCCTTCCCTTGGTTAGAATAAATTCATCTTTGTCTTCTCATCAGGTTGATACTTTGGTGACATTTTCTGGGAGCCAGCATTCCAGAGATCATGGTTTAATTTGGATTCGTTAAATATGCTCATACTTTTGGTTTTTCCCTCTGCCTAGACCATTTTCCCTATTGACAGCATGGTATGCCCCACATTACCATAGGTTTCTGCTCAAATGGCTCTTTACCAAAGAGTTCTTCTTTAGCCATCAGTACAAAATAGCAACTTCCTATTCCCACGAATCTACTTCCCCTTATCCAGCTTAATAATTTATTTTTTTAAAGTCCTCTTTATCACCTGATATGGTATATATTTGTTTATTTTTACTCTCTGCCTTCACTAAAATGTAAGCTATATAAGGACAGGACTTTGTTTTAGTCTATGCTACATCCCTTGTGCTTAAATAGTGCTCACACCAGTAGGTCCTCTGCAAATGTTTGTTGAATCAATGAATATAAATAGTTTCTACAGATACCTTTTTGTTTCAACTTTATGCATTTATTTCCCTTTCTAAATATTGCTTTTCAGTATTCCTGTAACACATCTCCTGACAAACAGGACCTTTGTATTACTCTCTGAGTGTCTGACATGTGATAGATGGTCAATAAATATTTACTAAAGGAATGAAGGATGGGACAACTGGGTGGCTCAGCAGTTTAGTGGCTGCCTTTAGCCCAGAGCATGATCCTGGAGTCCCGGATCGAGTCCCATGTCAGGCTCCCTGCATGGAGCCTGCTTCTCCCTCTGCCTATGTCTCTGCCTCTCTCAGTCTGTGTGTCTCATGAATAAATAAATAAAATCTTTTAAAAAAAAGGGAATGAAGGAAAGGAGAAATACACAAATAAATGAATGAGACGTATGGTAGCAATGGTGTGGCTGATAGCAATGTGAGGCAATAAAAATAACCTCACTCCTTCTTTGATCCCTCTTCTATCTCCTCATGCCTACTCCCAGGATGACTTATCCAGATTGTTAGCTAAGTGCCTGAATATACAAATGTTAATTGGTTGGGCATATAGCTATAAAGACCTGAACTTCTCTTTCATTAAGAAAATGGATGGATTTGGAGGGTGGGGAATGAAAGGGAAGAGGGGCTCCTAAAATAGAAAGGATAAGAAGAAAAGAGGATCTTGGAGAGGAAAATGAAGAATTGGACAACATGCTGGATAGATGAACCACTTTTAAGAACATATTCCTACAGGGCCTGTGGCTCAGTCAGTTAAGCATCAACTCTTGATTTCAGTTCAGGTCATGATTTCAGGATGGTGAGATGGAGCCCTGCATCAGGCTCTGCACTCAGTTCAGTACGGAGTCTGCTTGTTCCTCTCTCTCTGCTCCTCCACCCACTTGTATGCTCTCTCTCTCTCTCTCTAAAATAAATAAATGAAATCTTTATTTAAAAGGAACACATTCCTACATTTTACACTTCATTTGAGATGTTTGATGCACTAAGCAGTAAGCTACCTGTGACCCAAATTACCAACAAATTCAGCCATCCTCACAGAGGCCTCCAGTGAGTGGTATTTATGGAAAAAAAAAAGCGATTTTAAAAAATTGGTTAAAATCAAAAGAAAGTCAAAATAAACTCACAGTTATAAGAGAGTGGGGATAACAAGATTCAGAGGAGACAGAGTATCAAAGTCAGAGGAGACACCAGATCATAACCCTTAAGAATTCTGCAGCATCGTGCGGAGGATGTGACTTTTTTTTTTTTTTAAAGGTTCAGTGAGGGATCCCTGGGTGGCGCAGCGGTTTGGCGCCTGCCTTTGGCTCAGGGCGCAATCCTGGAGACCCGGGATCGAATCCCACATCGGGCTCCCGGTGCATGGAGCCTGCTTCTCCCTCTGCCTATGTCTCT